CCTCATGCAAACCGAGCCGCGAGCAGGCAAGACCTTGGCGTCAACACCCATTTTGATGACACCTTTGACGTAACTGGTGTGGGTCGCAAGGCGCCCATCGACCATCAGCAGCATGTCGTGCTCATGCCGGAAGACTGCAACTGGAAACCCTACACCTGAAATTCTCAGAACACAAGCCTACTAAGCCTTACACATTAAGCATTACCAGAAACAACTGTTCACACTTCATATCAATCTAAGCCGTGTCACTGAGATACTACCACAGGCGGAAAATAATTACATGATCTTGCAGTGGGGTACAGCAACGTGGTTCCATATCTCACTGTGTATATATATATATATACATACGCTAAAGCAGATAGAACTGACTTTGTTGGTGGGGAGGTGCCCCTTCGTTGAGAGATCGGGCTTTCCCGAAGCCCCTCCCCCCTCCTCCCACACACAATTACATTATGGGCTATGTGTCATCGAGGGCTAAGAGGGTTTGTATCGGACGGCCCGCATCTAAAACCTACCCTTTCAGGGTTCCTTGTATAAGCCCTTAAGAGGTAGTTAGGGGTTGAGGTAACCCTTGTGTGGCTTGCCTGGGCCTATCAATTAGGTTTCCTTTAAGGGTTTCGCAAGATGCTCTCTAAGGCTTACACTAAGAAGTACTCAGCAGGATCTTTGCTTCGGGCCCCAGTGGTATTTTGTACCGTACCTTGCCCTATCTTTTCTGCAAAACGTACTGTAGGCCTAGGATCCCATGGTAAACCAGAGGGTCCTAATAATGGTTTGGGGGGACCTAACTGTTGACCTAACTCCATAGTAGCAGTATATGGATGCTCTTGGTACGAAAAGACAGTAATCAAAACAGGCACCTCACTTCAGGGATTCATGTCGGACGCTGTGGGCCTAACATGGAGGCCATAACTTTTCAGAATAAAGTTCTGGATACATTGCTGTATATAATAATAGCATAACCATAATGACGACATAATCATATGGAACCCTAAAGAGCAGTATCGGCAGATACTCGGGCCCCCTAAAGTAAAGGCTTACTCATCAAGCAGGCCTATTGTGTTCAAAATGGTATGACTAAGTATCCCTGCATATGAGCATTTGGGGTTGTAGCCCTGAAACTCACGACTATCCTGAACTGTGTCTCCCAGGCATGCCGTGGCCTGCCTTCAAGAAGACTTGCTCCAAAACCTCACGATGGTCGGGCCATTTCGGCGGTGCTCAAGACCCGAAACTATGTTTTGGGCATTTCAGATGTGCAAAGCCAGGTAATCTCACCCTTGTGGTCACCTGTCCCAAAACCTGGGATGATCTTTCAAGCTCATAAGGGTTTCTTAGACAGTCAAACATGAGGCTAGTTCGAAGAAGGGTTCTCTCAAAGTCGGACAAGGGTTCTGAGACGGCTCAAAAATGGCCACACAAGGGTTCGGAAATTCTTCAAAGCATGAATCTACATAACACCCACAACTCCCGCTGCAGCCTGATTCTACAGCATCCGAAATCCAAAGAGATCCAAAAGTCGTGCAGCTGAGATCTCCTAAACAACTGTGTACAGAAACTTCAAAAACCGGTTTAGGGTTTAGGGGTTTAGGGCGCCGACCACGATGAGAAATCCGAACAAGCTGTAAACAACCAGTGAAATCCTGCGCAAACTCTGTTTGAACCATTCAAATCGGGCTGCACGCTGTGCCATTGCGTCCGTCATTTCCAGGCAGTGTGTTTTGGACCAAGTGAAGTACATGAGAAGGTGCTGCTTGTCGATACCTGGGCTCAACAAACGCATCCATGTACGATAACTTGTATCGAAACGCTGCAAGGCCAAAGTATATGTTAGAGGACTCTAAAAGCTACATGCTTCTGGCTTTCTATATAGGAGTCCATGCAAGCTGTATATTATACTAGGAATTACAGAGCTTTGGGCTCTTCAGGGAGATCCTAAGGGTGTCGGCAACCTTGCAAGTCTAGAAGTTGTGTTGAGGCCCAGCTTTCGGACCCTAAGCCCCCCAACCCTGGGCTGCGACCATCAGCGAAACAAGCAGTTTGGAGTTTAAGAGGGTTTACGGATTTAGGATTGGGCTTTACCTATAGTCTCCATTGTAATTCCTTTCTTTGGTTTAACCAATTCTATATTAGGGATCCTAAAAGGTAACCCCAAAAAGGAACTACAATGGAGACTATAGGATTGGCTTAGTTTGGGGGTTTGATAGAGCTTCCAGGGATGTCATTGATTTTGAGCTAAGGGCTTTCTTTCAACTAAACCCCACACAGCCTCAAGGACATCTAGAAGGAAATCATACTAAGGAGCCCGACAAATGTGCGTTTCTTACCCACTGTGTGGCTGTGTGGCGCCGGGTATATGCTTCTCGACCATCCAGGGTCTAGAGTCTAGGGCCGGGGTTGGGCAGATTAGCCTTCGGGTGAGGGTCTATTAAGGGTTTAGGGCTTAGGGTTTTGGTCTAGGGTGTAGGATTCAGGGTTTAGGGTTTAGAGTTTACAGGGTTTGGGATTTACGGTTTGGGGTTTAAGGGTCGAGGGTAGCCGCAAAAATCTCGAGCCCATCTCCAAACAAAGTCCAAAAGCTCCAGGGCAATCGAAAAAACGCAGAACGTTTCAAACTCACCATGATCTCCTTTGTGGTGGGTATAGTAAGGCTTAGGGTTTGGGCTTGGTGCCAGTAGAAGAAGACATGGCACAAGATATGATCTCCTTTATAGTGGGTATACTAAAAGGCTTTGGGTTCAGGGTTTAGCTTCTGTGCCGGTAGAAGACTTGAAGAGGGAATTCCCGCAAGCAACTTAAGGGGCTGAAGTCCTAAATCTTAATTTTCCAAGACACTCAAGTCCAAACCCTAAACCCTAAACTGAGGACTCAAATCCGAAAGTCTTCAATCCCTCCGACATCGCAGCTCTTGCCCAGCCACAAAGGAGGGCCTAAGTGTTCGCAGTTGATTTTGGTGGTTGAGGGTTTAATAGGGTCCCAGGGGATCCACTTTCATTGCTATCAATGCTGCGGATACTGCGAAATAAGAACAGTTACACGTATATGGCAGCTATGATGAACTTTCAAGCTACCGTGCTGTCTAGCATGCCTCTTGCAGCAGTCGTATATTCTGTGTACGATGGTTTACGCAAGTTGAGAGTTTAAAGTTGCGAACAGCAAAATTTAAAAGCTGTACCTAACTAAGTCCGCGCGACACCCCAGAGTCTACAAAATCTCCGTGTAGCCGCATCAAGGCTGCGCCACAAATCCCAGAATCGAAAAGCCCGGAGGCATCAACAACCCAGGACCCAAAACCACGCCCAAACACTGAACTGACCAGTTAAACCTTTTAGGACTCCATGGCCCTGGGGATCCGCGCGGAGAGGACGGCGAGGAGTTGACGGAACAGGCCGACACCAACGGGGGTGTTCGGGTTCACACCTTCAGGGTTTAGAGTTTAGGGTTCAGGCCTTTAAAGAATCCATGGTTTATAGGGTATATATATATATATATATAGATAGGTTCTAGAGATTAAGGTTTAGGGTTCACGCCTTCAGGGTTTTTACATCAAAGGACCTCTATGGTTTATAGGGTATACATAGGGTTTTAAGGTTTGGGAAAGTTTAGGGTTTAGGGTAGATGTGTTTGTTCCAAAGGATCCATGCACCTATGTCGTTTGTACTTTGGCCCTGGGTCTTTTCCTATCCCAGGCACATCAGCTGTCCAAACGGCAACACTACTAGCTGCCCCGCTGTTTCATTTGTTGGGTTTAGAGTCCTGGGCTTTGGCTTGAGGCGCGCACTTTGGGGCGAAAGGTCTTGCAAGGAACTCCAGAACCGAACAAAGACACCCATATCGCTTAAACAAACCCCTTAAATTTCGAGGAAGCCTACAGCAGCCAATACAAAACATGGAAAACGAACTAAAACCAATGAAAGCTCCTATAGTTAATATACCATAGAAACACCCATACAACCCCAAAACTTGTTCAATAGGGTTCATGAAGTTGGACTTCACTCCAGAATTTAGAACTACCCTGCAGCGAAACATTGTCGACGAGGGGACGGTGTTCGGGGTCACAGGCTTCGAGGGTTGATATCTCAGAACTAGATTATGTATTATTGCTAGTCCCCTACTCTAAACCCGAAACCCGAGCCCTAAACCCTAACCTTTAGCCCTAAACCCTACACCCTGCTTGTTCAACCCGACGACGAGATTCGTGCATGACATATGCTCTCGTTCGGAGTCGAAGCTGTCGTATCCTGACCCCGGAGGCCCAAACCCTGTACTGTAATGTAGACACCCTTGCAATTAGGTTAGGGTTTAGGTTTTAGGGTTTTAGGAATATTAAGAGTAGTGCTTTTGGGATGTTAACTACAGTAGAATTCGATTGATGAGCGCTGAGCATCAGTATTCACGATAATCTTCCAACTTCAAAACTCCTCCCATGCCTTCCTTCCGTGACCCCCATTTTAAGGGTTTCGGGCTTGCTTGAATTAAGGGTCCGGGTTCTAACGTGGGAATTCGATCAGGGTTCTGCAAGGATTGTATATGGGTATAGTGACCCTAAACCCTCAACTGTATGGCGCGCGCCGAACTTTTCTGCGAGACAAGTGCGGGCAGGCAGCCCAAACAACTCGAAGCGATTGCAGAGGCCGCCCGAGCCCTTAAAACCCCTCCTCATACTAGGACCCGAGCGGCCTTTTTTTGCCGTGTACAGAAGGTATAATTACTAGTTGAGGGTTCGGGGTTTCTATAGGCTATACTGAAAAACCGTTGAGGATGCATTGAAGCCTATCCTCCTATCCTCTTCTTCAACATGCCCACAACTCAATAGTATTGAGAGTTCTTTCCGCATGAAGGATGAAAGTGCTGAAGACCCACGGCCGAAAGCATATGGAGCTAGAGAGGTTTCAACTGCGGCTTCAAGTAACGACCGAAAGGTACGCAGGATTTGCATTGAGGCCCTCGAAGTCTCTCAATGGTTCAAGGATGTAGGAGTTGTTAGAGTGCATATTGGCTCAAGGTCGCTTGCCGTAGCTCTGGCGTGAACTGGACCTCTCGATCAACAAATGGGCAAATCCAGCGACGCCGGAAAGCACGATTATAGACCAGGACACTGCGTTGTTGAACTCATACTTTGGATGGTGCCGCAGCAGGTAGTGGAGTCCCACATGGATCATGGCGAAGACGCAGAAGAACGAGCGGGCGGCCTTGTTGTCGCGGAACACAGTCAGAAACAGCCAGCCTGATTTTGGCCAGGTCACTGAAGCGGAGGCAAAGCAAACTGGTGCTTGTGAAACATATACACGTACATACCATATGTGATGTATGTATGTATGCATGCATGTACGGGTGCCTCTCTATGTATACATAGTTGGTTTATTGAATGACGAACGAACTAAACGACCATAATAACGATGTCTTTTTGTTTTGTGTATATGTATAGTATATAGGTTTGTATACAAATATGTATGTATGTACGTATGTATGTATGTATGTACGAAGGTATGCAAGAACGAATGAATTTATGAATGAATGTACCTGTGTACGCCAGCTAACAAAATAAGGATTGATCTACTCAAATATGTGATTAATCAACAGCTTGAGCATATCCATAATCAGTTCATCCACAAGCCAATTACTCGACCGCTAAATTACTCAAGGCATTCCCAAATTAAATGCATTCCGTTTCATGTCGTTTCATGGCATGTCATAGCATATATCATGTCGTTGCATGACATGCATTCATTCATTCCATTTCAACCCATTCCAATGCATACAGTCCATTTCCTTCCATTCCCTTCATTGGTTCCATTGTTCAACTACATAATCAAACTGCGTACATAAAAAGACCAAGGGGCACACGTGCAAAATGTAATAACAGTCTAAACACAAATCTATTTCAAAGCCGATGACTGGACTTTCAAGTAACCAAACCGAAGCTGTACACTGGTGTTTCATGTTGGCTCCTTTCAGGAACAGGCCAAACAAATTCAAGTATGGTGCTCCAAACCCAGGAAAATGGCAAGTCCACTAAACTCGCATACCAGGTAACACAGGGGAATGTGTAGCACGATGAAGACGTCACGGGCAAGGTCGTCATCAGAGATCAGACTCAGGAGCGGAAGTATGCGCCACTCGTGGCGAAACGTTGCGTCCATCTCATGGGTCAGCATGGCAGCGAAAGACAAATCAAACGCCTTCATGACGCTTGAATTCGAAGTGTGCGCCGTAAAGGTTTTGGTGAGGTACTGACCTGTCCGTATCAACAAACTGTGTCCACATCCGATCACTTTCACTACGATTCCTCCCTGTACGGACATGCGGCACTCGTGCCCCTGTGGCCTACCATTAAACCCCTTTATGAGTCCCCGTTATTAGCCACTTGCATTGGAATCTTGATCTTTATGAATTTATGATCTTTATAGTACCAGTTGATAACAAAACATTCTGCTAGCTACTACGTCACGGAAAGCTGCCCGTATCCAGAGCCGAAAGGTGGGCGGCAACACCGCGCCCTGGGCATGCTCTGAGTTGGTTGACTCACCTGATGGATCATCCGCCTTTTCGGTTCCTACCCAAACATACGGCCCACAAACCCCTAAAGCTTGAACTGTACAAAAAATGTGTCCCCACACCCGAAACACCAGCACCCTTACCGTTATAAACCCCTGACCCCTCATCCCCCGAAAGAAACACCTCCACCAAGGAACCCAAACCCTAAACCCTGCCTATAGTCTCCATTGTAGTTCCTTTCTTTGGTTTAACCAATTCTATATTAGGGATCCTAAACGGTAACCCCAAAAAGGAACTACAATGGAGACTATAGGTGGATCATCCTGTGCCAAAACCCGCAACCCTAAACCCTAAACCCTTCAATCCTAAAGCCAACCCTAAACCCTATAAACCCTAAAACCCTATAAACCCTAAAACCCTATAAACCCTATAAACCCTAGAAGCCCCTAAACCCCAAACCCTGGGTCATCCTGTGCCTAGGCCGTGTAGAAGGCTCAGGAGATCACCGGAGAAGCTTCGCTTCAGAACCTCGTAGAAGAAGGGATCCATGTACCGTTACAGGCTATAGGGTTTAGGGTTTAGGGCTTAGGGGTTTAGGGTTTAGGGTTTAGCCAACATAAGGGTTCCTTCAAAGGTACCATAAGGGCTCCTTTAAGGGATCCATAAGGGTTCTATAAGGGTTTAGGGTATAAGGCTCCATGTACCGTTATAGTAGATACTTATAAGCCCCGAAGTAGTCCCTACATAGCTAGTTTAAGGCCTAAGTATATACTATATGGGTACATAGAGCCTTAGGCCAAGAAGGGCTTCATGAGAGGTTAGAAGCTGCCCCCACCCTGTAATAGTGACTATAAGGATTATATTAGGGCCCTATTATACCACTATTACAGGGTGGGGGCAGCTTCTAAATCAGGGGTCTTCTTGTGCAGAGTGTTTGAGGGGTTTAGGGTTTAGGGGTTTAGGGGTTCAGGCGTTTAGGGTTTAGGGTTTAGGGGTTTAGGATTTAGGGGTTTAGGGTTTAGGGGTTTAGGGTTTGGGGGCTTAGGGTTTAGGGGTTTAGGGTATAGGGGTATAAGGTTTAGGGGTTTAGGGTTTAGGGGTGCAGGGGTTGAGGGGTTTAGGGGTCTTTTTGTGTAGAGTCTACGCAGTCTGACAGGGGTCTACATAACAGGTCAGAAGTCAGTTTTGTGATACGAATATTACCGCCAACAACCCCCCCCTGGCAACCTACACAAAAACCCTAAACTCTAAACCCTCCCCCCAACTTACACAAAACCCGATAAGGTTCCTTCAGACCCCAAGCCTTAAGCACAAAAACACAAAACAAAAACCCTAACCCCTACTCCCGAACCCCCTAAACCGCCCCTAGACTCTAAATCTAAACCCTCAATCCTAAACCCCTCCCGTCCCTAAACCCTAAACCCTGGACCACTAAACCCTCCCTAAACCCCAAAGCCCCTAAACCCTTAAAGGAAGCCTTTAAGGAACCTTTGCAGAACCCCAAAACCCCTCAACTCTGAATCCCAAACTCCAAAACCCTAAACCCTACACCCTAAAACTCCAAAACCTTATATACACCCTAAAACTCCAACGCCCTAAACCCCAAAACTCCGAAACCCTAAACCCTAGCGAGCCCACTCTAAACCCTACACCTTAGAGAACCTCTAAAACCCCCTTGAAACCCCAAAGTTCGGCCTTTTGGTTGATCCGCTTCCGCCACTTGGAGGAGCTCAAGACCTGCCTTGTCTTCGCTTTTTTGGGATTCGGTGGCTTTGGGGGGTTCCTTGAATGGCTTCCTTAGAGGGGGTTCCGAGGGGGTCCTTTCAAGGGTTCCTTGAAGCGTCTTCGCTTTTTTGGGATTCGACGCTTTCTTGGGCCTTTTTTGGTGGGTTTAGGGTTCAGGGTTTAGAGTTTCTGGTCCCTAAGAGTCCAAGCCATGTAAAGCCGTACTTGGACCCTATGGGTAGGTTTAGTGTTTAAGGGTTCAGTGGTTTTGGGTTGGAAGTCCAGGGATTCGGGCTTTTGCGGTAGGTTTTGTGTGATGAGGGGGGGGGGGGTTGGGGAGTCTCTAAGGGCTCCTGTAAGGGAGCTTCGGTGTTTTGTTGCGTTTAGGGGTCGTTCGGGGCTTGAGGGGTTCGGGCCTCGTTCCAGGGTTTCGGGGGTCTAGGGATTCAGGGGCAGGGTGTAGGGTGTTGGGGGGTAAGGGTTTGGGCTTTGGACATGGTTAGAGCCTAGAACAGAATCAGGTTCCTGCATGTTTCGGTGGAGATCCGGGGTGTACGATTCAAGGATAAGGCTTAAGGGTGGCAAGGGCTAGTGAGACCCTAAACCCTAAACCCTAAGCCCTGAACCCTAAACCCAAAGCCCTAAACTCTTAACTCTAGACCCACAACCCTAAACCCTAAGCAACCCTAAACCCTAAATCCTAAACCCTGCTGTAGCCAAGATGCATTAGGTCATCTTCCTGAGCACAGCAGGATGCGAACACCGAATCTCTGAACCATCGACTCCAGGTTCAGACTTCGGGGGCTTCGGAGTTTAACCCTAAACCTTAAACCCTAAGTTTTTTTTTTGAGGACCTTTTTCCGACTGTCCTCAAAAAAAAAACTTAGGGTTTAAGGTTTAGGGTTTAGGGTTTAGGGTTTAGGGTCCAGGGTGGGGGTTGGGGTTTAAGGCCTCGGGGGCTTAGGGATAGAGTTTGGGATTTTAGGGTTTGGGGCTCCTGGGTTTCACCACCTCTCAACTCCAAACGCCCTAAATCTTGAGGCCGTCGCCGACTGTTGTCAAGACTTATGGCATGGCTTGTTCAACATTGTCTTTAAGCCAACTTTAAGCAACCAATCCGAACACAACATTGCGTTCTGGAGAAACGAGCTCTTGTTGTATACTTGGGACTTGCAGAGGTGGGACATGAGGAAGACCCGCCCAAGTCTTCACACTCTAACCCTAAACTGAAAATCCCCAAACCCACAACCGAAAACCACAAAAGAGGAACTAAGTGCTCATTTTTGGGCAATGTATCCCTTCTGTGCTTCTTCTGTCGGACCCCTGATGGCCATGGGACAATACCTTACAAAGCTTGTTCCTGCAACAGACCATGCCTTCGTCTTTCTTTGGATCAACCTTACATGTCATGATCCTTGTCATGACAAAGCTTCGGAACCCTCCCTAAACCCTGAACCCAAGGGCCTAAGATATGCCAGAACCCCTAGTTCCGTCAAGATCTTGGTTTCTCCTGCTCGCGAGACTTAGCGCTTCCAAGGCCTCATCATATCTGCGTGGTTTGGAGTCTTGAGTCAGATGAACTGCAGAACCCCACCATGCGGGCTTCATGATTAGACCATGGCTTTGGGGATAATATACTATATGTATGTAGGAAAGGGGCGGACCCCTGTAATAAATCCCAACACCCAAAACTGAGAACCTTGATCAAGAAGCTGAGGTTTCGCGATGTTCGCGGAGGTATTCCAGTAGGAGCACAAACTCCATGGGTGAAACCTGGCATTGGACTCGGGTTGGGACTTTCATGCCCTTCAGGTAGAGGGAATAACCGTTTGGGGTGTCGGGTTTAGGGGTATTTGATGTGAAAGGTTTCGGATGGGTTCGGGTTCACTCTTATTGGAGTGGTGGAGGGGTGCCGAATCGGAAGCCCGAAAGCTTTCGACCTTGACCCTGATTGGAACTGCCAGTCACTGTCAGACCCTAAAAACCTGAAGAGACATGTGCAAACAACACATGCATATATAAGTCACATATGACTATTATCTATGTGTATACAGTATGAACATGAGTGTACTATGTGTGCTTGTGTATGCAGGCCGTAATGTAAGGCCCTCTATGCAACCCTAGCCCCACACCCGCAATATTACACTCCAACCCAAAATCATGAAACACCACTGCAGGTGCCTTAACCATTCAGATATAGATTCTGAATTATCCTAAACCCTCAACCCGTAAACCCCCCCCACTCTGAACCCCAAACACATATAGACTACCACTATGGAATCAGGTCCCGCAAACTCATCCCTATACATATGCATGGTTTGGAGGACCCCATTCGAAAGTAGCAGATGTGGACCCTCTTGGTTAGTCACTATATATTGACCGAAGGGTCCAAGCAGTTCGCGTTTATGGCTGTTGGTACCCGAAAAGCCCCAAAGTCCTATAACAAGGACCCACAGGGTCCAAAGTACCTGTATAGTAAGATGTAGGGTTTCTATATTAGGAATTACTATTATGAGTTGGGGGAGTATGTGCACCTTAGCGTCAGTCACTCCGACCCCTGCCACGGCCAGAGATCAGACGGAGATGCCTCGGGGTCCAAGGCTTAGGGTGCGGGGCTGCAGTACTTAATGTAACAGTCACATACTCCCCCAAAAAACTAGCCCACGTAACTACTACCCCGAACACAAGTACCCAATTATTGACTCATTTTCGCTCTGTAGGAATAGGGTTCAGGGGTAGGGTTGGGAGTTTTAATTAAGGGTCTAGGACTAAGCGCTTTGGCGCTCTTTGCCAAGAGACATCTCGGGGATTCCCGTCGTACAGCACGTTCTGGGGTACCTCGTAGGACGGTTTTGGGTCTATAGGGTTTAGGGATTGCATGAGGTTTACCTGAACCCACAAAAACCTTCCGTTGGAGGAGAATAATTGGCAATTATTTAGGCCGTTATGTTATTCTTTGCCAAGGCAATTCTCGCCACGACGCTCGGAACCGATGTGAACACGGATCTCAAAGAGTCGGAAAATTCCCAGAATCTATGTTCCTGCCATCTCCTGGAACATGGTTAAGGGTTTAGGGCTTAAGGTTCAGGGTTGAGGGCTTAAGGTTTAGGGTTTAGGGCTTAAGGTTCTGGGTCTAGGGCTTCAGGTTTAGTAGGCTTTAGATTTAGGGTAGTTTAAGCTTTAGGGCACCGCACAGTGGCATTCTGCGTGCTTTGGGTGCTGCGACAGGCTGAGACCGGAAGCAGTGATACAACGTCTCCATCCATACTGCTGATGGACAAAATCCTGCATAACCCATTATAAGGAATATACCGTAGTTCCCATAGTTTAGAGTCTTTAGGGTCATGCAGGATTTTGTCCATCAGCAGTAGTACCATTTCCCGAAGGGTCCAAGTACCCAAACAGTAGGGTTTCAAGGTCCAAAAACCATTCAGGGTACCCAGACTTTCCAAAATCCCCTTAATTAAGGAATATACCTTAAATCATATTAAGGATCCTACTATAATTTAAGGGATATTCCTTAATTAAGGGATTTTGGAAGGTCTGGGTATGGATTTGGGGATCTGAAACCCCACGATTTGGGTACTTGGAACCTCTGGGTTTTATAGGATCCTTAAGGGGGGGTGGTTCAAGGGGGGAGGGTACTAGGGAGCTTTGGGGAACCTTAGGGAAGCTTAGGGAGTATTGGGGAATAATGGGGATTACTAGGTTACCTACCCCCCTTGGACCACCCCCCTTAAGGACATCCTAAGGGTTTTGTGGTTGCCCATTCTCTGGTCAGGGTCCTACAGTAAGAAATCTAACGCACGTAACCAACACGACGCATCAGATTCTAGGGTCTAGGTAGAACACAATCAAAAAAACTTAATCCCTAAAATCCCAAAACTGAAAACCCCTAGAGACCTAAAGCCTAAGCCAACCGATGAACAGGATCAACCCTAAACCCTAAACCGGAACTCTATAAACCCTAAACCCACCCCAAACTCCAAACCCTAAACCGTCAAACAGGGGCACCAGCCGGCGGAGGCGTCCGCTGAGGCCTCTGCTTGCTTGGGCTTTCGGGTTTAGTGGGGGATACATTTGAGAGTTTCCGAAAATGAGGGGTCCCTTATTGTGGGGTCCTTATGATAATGATCCTACTATTTAGGGTAGTATATTTTCGGAAACTCCCATTTTGGTATAGCAAAACATAGGGAACCCAAAGCAATAACGTTAGTTGGGTTGGAGCGGCCATGTGAACCCTTTCAACCTTAGCACTACAACCCCATAACGGAAAGCCAAGTCGTACAAAAGTGAATCCTAAGGGGTGTAGGGTTTACCTGTAGCCGCAAATAACTATCCTTTCCGGGTTGCTCACTATGGTTTCTATATGTACATATACACAGATATACAGATATAGTTCCTTGAAACGGTAGGTCTCTTGGGCCACAGGTAGGCTTGGAGGTCGGGTTTAGGCAGGCTTAGGGTACATCGGTACATGGTTTAGGGCCGAGTCCTACCTAGAGGGTCATACCCTGCACCTTTGTTATGGCACCCAGTTTTCTCATTGGGTGGTACAATAAAAAAAGAAGGGGGTATGACCCTAATAATGACCCATAGGCCCCAAAGTAGTTCCTTTTTGGGATTCCCTTATAGGATTCTATATACGAACCCCCAAAAGGAACTACTTTGGGGCCTTAGGGTAGAGGCAATCTTCTAGCAACTTTCAAGCCTCGACAGCTTGGCGAGGCCGATGATGCACATTTCAACCACAACAGCTTTGACCCCTTCACACCTAACCCTAAACCCTAAACCCTAAACCCTAAACCCTAAACCCTAAACCCTAAACCCTGAACCCTGAACCCTAAACCCTAAACCCTGAACCCTAAACCCTAAACCCTAAACCCTGAACCCTAAACCCTAAACCCTAAACCCTAAACCCTAAACCCTAAACCCTGAACCCTAAACCCTGAACCCTAAACCCTAAACCCTAAACCAAAAGCCCTGGAGCCTGAACCCCAAAGCCTAAACCCTAACACCTAACACCTGACTTTGTCCCGGAAACCCCACCCCTAAAACGGCAACCTGTATAGCCCGAATTTCTTCTAGCCCTATCATCCCCGAGACCTAAAATCGGAGGCATCCCTAACTCCGCAGCAGCAAAGCCCTGACCATAGGTCGCGAGCCCCAGTAGTTGCGGGATTTGGTTTAGCGTTTAGGGGAGTAAAAGAACTTTACCTATCAACGCAGTTCGGTTTTGGGTTTCCGTACAAATCGGTAGGTACCTAAAAGCTCCATTGTAGTGCCTCTTTTGGGCTTATATTTAAGATCCCGTCCCAAGAGGTAATCCTAAAAGGAACTGCACTGGAGCTTGAGATAGGGGCCTTAGTAATTAGAATAGGGTTTTGGGGTCCATTATACTATACTTATAATATTATAATAAGGAGGAGACCCAAAAACAGTATTAAATTTATTGAGGCCCCTATTTTAGAAGTGTTTCCCTAAGGGTCCAAGTACCCAATTATCATATACTCTCAAGAATAGTAACCTACTTAACTATTATCCCGAACCCGAATACCTAATTATTGGGTCCTTTGGACCCTTAGGGTTTTGGCAACCCTGAAGCTTCCCCTTGGGTAGGTCTGGGTCTGGCCTGCGGCGGTGCAGTGCTGATAGGCGTAAAGGAGATCCTGGAAAACACAAGGCCGAACGGGAGCTAAGTACCTATCAGGGAGCCCTGAAAGGAACCCTTAAAGGAACTGTTTGTATACTTGGAGCATTAGTACGGGAATTGTCCTCATCCATGGACCACCTTCTCCATCAGTAAGAAATCTTCATAAGTCCTATAAGCCCCTCCGAATGCATAAAATCCTGCAGAACCTTTCTACACAAACCTGATGAATCCCATATAAAGCCATGATGCGTGTTTCTGTGCTTCGACATTATGGCAAATAACTTCACCCTATCATCTTGGGATACCATCATCTGGGGCAGAGGGCGTAGGTGTAAGCTTACCACGGTCCTAGGGACGCATCTTTTTTTGCGCCCTTGCCATAAGGGTCCAAGTACCTAAGAAACATAGACTCTCTCAAACACTACAACAACCTGCGCACCTCCCCTAAACCTTAAACCCTAAACCCTAAACCCTAAACCTTAAACCCTAAACCTACCTTTCGAAGCCGAAGTACTGCATTCATGGGCCCTTTGGCCGCTTTGGGATTGAAGCTCAGAGACCATGCTTAGGGCTTCAGCTACCTAAACAAAGGGTTGCTGAGTTGCGTACTCCAAGTATTCAGGGTTTAGGGTTTAGGGGTTTATAGGGTTTAGGGTATTTAGGTAACTGGAGCCCAGGAACATTATGCATTAGGATTCTGTGTTTTTGTTTTGAGAGTTAGGGTTAGGTTAGGTTTCAGGCTTACCTGAACCCTGCACAGCCTACCTTTATAGGGTTCCTTTTTCATTTCTTCCTGAATCAAGGCAGTTATTTGGGCTTAAGGTAAGGCTTCTGCTTGGGTATACTAGGGTTCAGGCGGCGGGTTTTTGTTCGGTGGTTGGCGGTTTACAGTTCAGAGCTCCGGTTCCTCAGACGCACAACGCCCACCTGGTCGCTACAAAACTTAGTTTTCTTAGGCTAGGGTTCCTTGTTATGATTTCCTTAGAAGAGTTCCTAAACAAGGTAGACATTTTGGGGTTCAGGCACACCCAAATTTAGATTTCGCAGCTTGTCTCTTTGTGAGTCCCAGACATCCAGGCGTAGTGGACCAGCGTTTCCTTTGCTGCAGCATGATCACACCCTACCCTAAGGGTCCACGTGCCCAAATAGTATATATGTTGGCCCCAATGTACCTATATGGGGACTACCTTTAGGTCAAAGTATATATATATATATATATATACATACATATACTTATATTCGGGTACATGGACCCTTTGGGCTAGGGCTGCAGTTACCTGAGTAATGGGTTACTGGGTTATGTACTATATGGCCAGTAACCCCACATTTATTTAGCTGGAGCCCTAGGGACAACTATAAGACCTTCGTCAGTAACTTAGTAGAAACTTTAAAGTTTAAACTTTAAATCTACCTAGACCCGAACATCTTGCACATGCTTGATGAAATCAAGTAACCCAAAAAAGAGCCATCTAGGTTCAGGCGTCAAGGTTGTTCTTGGCAGGCTTTGTATGCTCGGCGGCGGAGTCTGTGGAGGCTCTAGGGCTCGGGTTTGACGGTTCCTGAAAGCCCTAAACCCTACACCTTTCACATGTACTGGGTGTCGATGTCAACAGTCCCCACTTACGTACAGTTAGGGCTCTATAAACATTATATTAAACGATCAGGGAAAACAACGACAACAACAACAACAACAACAACAACAACAACAACAACAACAGCAACAGCAACAGCAACAGCAACAGCAACAGCAACAGCAACAGCAACAAAAACAACACCAACACCAACACCAACACCAACAACAGCAACACCACCACCACCACCACCACCACCACCACCACCACCACCACCACCACCACCACCACCACCACCACCACCACCAACAACAACAACAACAACAACAACAACAACAACAACAACAACAACAACAACAACAACAACAACAAAAACAACAACAACAACAACAACAAATCGATACCTGGTTACGTAGGGTAGCAGTGTCTTGCAGGACAGTAGGATTACAACTGGCCCTCGTGAAAGCTCGAATCTCCAGCGCTTCGCATCATGTTCATTCCTAAACCTTAAACATCGCCCGCTTGCACCCTACGACGAAGCCCCTGAATCCCAGACACCCAACAAGACAAGCTAAATCCCAAACCCAAACGGCCTGAACTCCAAAATCCATGAAACCTGAATCCCAGATATTGAAACTCTATAATATCTTGAAATCTTGCACCTAGCACCTGCCCTGTGCAACCGTGGCACGGCCGTCCCGCCAGGTCAGTAGCATGTAAAGCTCCTTCAAGCGAGGTCGATCCCCTCCGTATAAGCCTAATATAGAGGCCTTAATAATTAGAAGAGGTTTTTGGGGCCCATTATACTATCATTATAATAAGGAGCCCCTCAGACTAGTATTAGTATTTATTTAGGCCCCAAAAGTGGAGCCAAGAGCCTTGATCCCAGTGCCAAGTGCCCTTGTAAGTGTTCCATAAAGTTTAGGGCTCCCTTTAAAGGAGCCCTTTGAATGCGGTTTAGGGTTTAGGGTTTAGGTCCCTCAACCTCTATCCCCACACCCTACAAAATAGTAGGTTATGTGACCCCTGAATTAGAGGGTAGAACCCTACAAAATGGTAAGGGTGACGACCCCTTAACTAGAGGGGTAGAACCCTTAAAACGGAAGGTCTTCGGATCACCCGGAAAGTATGACTGGAGATCTCGGTTTCGGTTGCGGAGCTAGGGGTGTCTGAAATGAGACGAAATCCTTGACCCCTAAACCACCAAAGGTCAGACATATTCCGGATCTTCCCCTAATACCCTAATACCCTAAACCACATCAAGCTCTCAAGGTTGGGTTCAGGGGTTTGTGGCTGCAGAGCACTGCTGAGCTTGGCTGTGCTGGGTTGGAACTCGGGTCCCAATAAACCTCACAACCCAATACGGCTCCTGATCCCTGAACCGTATACCCTGAATCTCAATAACCCTTGAGGCCGTAAACCCTGAGTCGTAGGAGACCCTAGTTAAATCCAATGAACCCTTGAGTGCGTAATGCCCAAATCTCATTAACCCCACCGCCTGAATCCTGATTCCCTGAATCATACGCTTTAAAACATCACTATCCCTAAAATCCCGAACCCTGAATCGTACGCCCTAAAATCTCACTACCCCTTGCCACCCTGAAGCCTGATCCTTGAGTCATACACCCAGATCCCCAAGCCGTACAATGGAGGAACCTAATTTAGACTATAACCCCCCGAAATAGTAGGATCCATAACCAGGTAACCCTAATAAAGGCCCAAGGTTTCTTAATCAGATTCCTACATTATCACACACTAAACCCTAAGCCCTAAACTTTCCTAAACCCTGAACCCTAAACCCTCTTTCCTAATCAGGTTCCTACATTGCCCAAGATCTCACTCACCCCGAAACTGCCGAAACCCAATGCTCTATCAATTACATACCTAGAGGCTCCAAATATAGTACCATTATGGAATTTTGTCCCCAAAGCCATGATATGGATGGTCTTTTGGGACCTAATTCCATAATGGTACTATATATGGAGCCTCTGGGAGAAGGGCCTGAATAAATATAGAATAGGGTGTTGGGGTATACGGTATACTATACTACTGGTACAATAACTAGAATAAGGAACCCCCCAAAAATCAGCAACTCCCCCAACTACCCTCTATCATACTCTCAGTACCCACTAGACAAGGAGATTAAGGGCTCTTTTCAAGGGTACTTTGGGGGGTGCTGGTGAATCGTATACCCTGAACCCTAAGAAGATCCCCTAAACCTTAAACTAAACCCTACAAACCCTATAAACCCTACAAGCCCTACAAACCCTAAACCCTAAACCCTACAAACCCTACAAACCCTAAACTAAACCCTAAACCCTACAAACCCTAAACCCTAAACCCTACAAACCCTAAACCCTAAATCCTAAACCCTACAAACCCTAAACCCTAAACCCTACAAACCCTAAACCCTAAATCCTAAACCCTACAAACCCTACAAACCCTAAACCCCAGACCTGAAACCCTAAGGAGGCCGCCCGTACCTCCACCTCGTCCGGGGCCTTCTTGTTGAGGTATCGGCCCAACCAAGCTTCCACCTGACAACTGGTGCGGCCCCCTAAGGATCCATGTGCCCACATGGTATATGGAGGGTTCCAGAAGGCCTTAAAATGGTCCTCATATTGGGTACTTTGGGGCCAAAGTGTATACTACTTGGGTACATGGATCCTTTGTGAAGATGGGGTTTGGGGTCTAGCGCCATGGTACCAGCAGGGTCGCTGCACGTTGCCATGACGCCAGATCTGCAAAACCAAGAGCCTGGCTGTCGGACTGTCGGCGAATCCAAATGCCGCCGGTGCCGTCATCCGGCAGGTACGCGGCTTCGCCGCCCGTGTTGGAGACGCCTCAGTTGCCTGCATGGAAGTAGAACGGCAAGCCATCGAGGATCTGGTCTCGTTGCCGGTGATGCCGCACAGCACGGATGACTTTTTTTGCTTGGACGACTTAGTTTCCACGAGCACACACGGTGAAGCAAGTGTGATCCGGATGGTCATTTCGGGTCTCCTACCCTTAGAACACTTAGAAAGCAAGCAGCACAATATACTTGGAGACTCCTGGAAAAACCCAACAAAATACACTCGAGAACCTTCAAAGACATAATCTTGAGATGTCAGGCCATCCTGGACCGTCTGAGGCTCTCCAGGGAATGTACATGAGTAGATGGGCGTATAGTTTAAGTATATAAGGACGGGAAACGGATACGGGATATGTCCAATTTCTGTCTCTATAAGCCATATAACTATTATACACAACAGGTTCTAGGGTCTGACAAATCCTCGGCAGATGTATGTCTCTATACCTAGTATTGGCTATTTGGAGGTACAAGGGTGGCCCGTGCAGGAAAATGGCCAAGGACCCTCAGACGCCGGAACCCGCGCCAAGGCGCAATCCGAGGCTTCGGAAGGTTTGGCGGTTCGGGGTGTAGGGGCCTCCAGGCATGTCTGGACAGCGGCGGAGTCGTCGTTGTGGAAATGTGACAAAATCTTCGTGGTTCAGTTTAAAGGGGGGGGGGTATTGAGGGTTCAGGGTTAGTTGGGTGCCCCTAAATTCGAAACCCTATAAGGCCCAACTCCAGACCCGAAGCCCTGAACCTTACAGAAGCAACATGAAAGATCCGCTTTAAGCCTACATATACCCGCTAGAACTAGGAACACGTACCTATATGTAGTCCCTTTTTGGGATTACCTTATTATGGACCTACAATGGAACCTGAAGACATAAACTCCGCAATAAAATCCTCAACGATCCCCTTAAATTGATCCTAACTATGAGCCACAAAACGGAACTACGATGGAACCTACAGGTATAAACTCCTTCATAAAGGCCAGGAGGATCCCCTTCAAACCTAAATCCTAAAAGATCCCCTTAAAACCGACATTCGCCAACCTCGCGGGTGTCCAGCTCTCCGTTGTGATCGTCGTCTGCGCGCTGAAAGGCCACCGTCCTGGGTTTGGCTTAGGGCTTAGGGCAGAAATTTAGGGCTTCTAGGGTTAAGGTTTCAGCGTCCAGAGTTTGGGGCTGGATGCCCGCGGCAAATTTCGGACTTTATAGCTTGAGAGCACGGCTTTTGTCGAATTAAAACTATTTGCATTCGTGTTGGGTTTTTGGGGTTTGGCTTTGTGAGCTTTGGTTCTCCAGGAGCTGCTTCCGCGGTTTCAGGGTCTCATGTAAGTCGCCGATTGGGATCTGTGATTCTTTGGCATTTACCGTATAACCCCCAATAACCTACAGTAGACCCCAGAAAGTTGGAAACCGGATTAAGGCCAAATAGTGCTGGGATTCCCTGTACATTACTCTTAAGGATTGAGGCTATTGGGTTTCCAACTTTTCGGCTTCTACTGTATGCCTTGTTAGGGACGTATTTAGGGAAGTCATAGTCAGGATTTCGGGTAGACATTTAGGACTTGTTGTAACAGACTTGAGAAACTAAACTCGACATTATATTAACTACCACGCCAACCGGAAGCCCTGAAAGAGAAACCTTAAGTTGTTAAACCCAAGGGGTCTTGGCTTTCGAGTCCAGGGCTCTGGGCCTGCGCTACCAAATAATTATTATGCTCAAGCTCGGCTCCCTGCTCATTCTGAGCGGGCCTGCGCAAGATTTCCGTGAAGCTTACGCCACTCCCCATACAGTAACAATCTGTGATAGGGCTATTCTTAAGGGCCTTAACTTAGATATCTTTAGTGGTTAAACCGAAAAATAGCTAGCACACATTGACTATAGGCTTGAGGCCCCAGACTTTAACTCATCGGGCTCAGGCCAAACTTGCGAACCTCCAAAACCTAAACCCCGCCACCCGTTAAATCCCTGGACCCTCTATCCCATAAATCCCTTAAATCCCTAAACCCCACGGCCTAATCCCTAAACCCCGCCACCCCTCAAACCAACGGCTCCCAAACTGCGGCCGGCGTTCAGCTTCTTCGGATCGCTAAACTTCTTTGGATCCAAGGACATGAGGACAGATGCAAACTCCTTCCAAAGGGATTTAAGGGGCATAGGTCCAGAGATTTAAGGGGGTTTTTAGGGTCTGGGGATTTACGTGGCTTAGGGTCTATGGATTTAAGGGGTTTAGGCTCACCATGAAAGCGTGAACAGGGAGGTGTTTGAGGATGATATAAGGATGCACGGAGCGGGTGAATTAGTCCCCAGGGTCTGTTTAGGCGGGTTAGGATTTCCGGGTATAGGGTCTAGAGTCTTGATACTTGAACGAGAGGTCACAAGGTATGCGGGCTGGTGAAAGACCCATTAGCGGGTGATGGGTAGCGTTCGAAAGGATAACCTTTGGGATGATATGGGAGCTTACGAAAATAGAGGGACCCGGCCTGAAAGGGATGAACCAAGCTTGACTCTGGACTACGTGCGTTCTGCCGGGCGATCCTACTCCTGACACTACCGGGACCCAAACCCTGAACCCTGAGCCCTAAACCCAAGGGAGCCCAAAACAGGTTAGCCTTTTCAATTATGGTACAGGTTTGTTTACATAAGCCCCAAAAAGTTATAGGTTACCTGCCTACTCGCTACTAAGAAACCTGAATCTGCCTCCTTGTCCAAACAGCCGTCTCGATTGATATCGGCCTCTTCGAAGGCTCGCCTGAGTTGCTGAATGAGTGTCCAACTCTACGTCTCTGTGGCTTTGTTTCCGGCTTAGGGCGGGCTATAATGACAGAAATGTGATCGTTCAACGGCGATAAACTGGCACCACTGTTTCAAGGCCGCCCGAGTTATGCATGGGGGTTCGGCGTTGGGTCTCTGTAGCTTCGGGTATGGGGTGTAGGATCTCGGGCTTAGGGTTAGCAGGGTTACGGGATTTTGGTGTTCAGGCTTCCCTGAGGATCAAAATAGCCCAAAAGCCTTATATAGTATGGTCTTTGGGCCAAAGAGCCTTAATATATGAGTCCTTAGATCCCAGGGCTTTGGTTTAGGATTCAAGGGTTTGGGAGTTTTTTAGTTTTGGGGCTCTGTGGCTTGGGGCCGAGGGGGTGCAAGACCCGGTATCCTAGCCTTAATGCCAACATCGACCTACATGGAAGCTTTGTTGGTTTTCTGTTTAGGGTCTATAGGACTTAGGGTTCAGGGCCATCACTTCCCAGCGCCAGCACGGGCTAACGCCTCAACCCTAACCACTCAAAGCCTATTTTTGAAAAGGTCGCTACCCAAGTGCTGAGGTGCATCCAGGCGGCATCAATCGAGTCATTTCAAATGTCCTCCCCTTGCTTGGACTATCTTGTTTCTTCAGCACTTCGCCTGCTCTGTCCTGTGGTTGCGGGCTTCGCGGGTTGGAGTTGAGGCGGCCTCTGGAGGCTTACCTATAGTCTCCATTGTAGTTCCTTGTTTTGGCTTAACCAACTTTATATTAGGGATCCTAAAAACTAACCCCAAAAAGGAACTACAATGGAGACTATAGGTAGTCCTGAGTAACCATGTTCTTGTATAGCTCCAGCATATTGATAATGGAAGATACCCCAGCACCAGTTCTCGGTTTCCCCATATATGCATTATATCGAACCCTGCCTAAAACCTCTACGACGACCCCATGACTACACATCTGGACCCTGGAATGTAGGACCCGTTTCTTGAATAACCTGTTCTGTTGCAGAATGCTACGGTGAGACAGTGAGACAGAGGCTCTAAAGACATGAACAAGCGTGGGATGTGTTCTGCTGAAATTTAGGGTCTTTGGCAGGCCCCTTTGGAAGGGTCTTCTTTTGCTTCAAGCGGTTCGGAAACTTACAGTTCGCGGGGCTTCCATCTGCGCCAATCTGTGACAAGCACTTCGGGAATTCCGATCTGCAAATCTTCATTTAGATCACAGGGCTCGCTTGGCCTCAGGCTACATAGGAATGAAAGTTGACTCGGCGCCGTCCCACGCCAAGACAGCGGGAAGTACAATTTGCATGACTTCGCGCCGCGCGTCAAGCTGTTCGGTTTTGCATTCCCAAAATCCTTATCACCGAACGGAGAAGTGAAACAACAACTATTACACTGGCCCTCAAGTCTGTTGCATAACAAGCCGTAGAAATCTCTAAGCTTCTTTACATTGAATTAAGCCCACAACCCTGTGCCCGACACTTCGTGCCTCGGACTCTTGCGCCGCCGGCTCTTTCTAGGCGGACAGGGCTCTTGCCGAACACTAATCCACATCTCGGGTGTGTTAGGATTTCTGCTTCAATGTAGGGGCCTGGAGAATTCGAAACGATTTCTTCAAAGTTTTGCCACAAGGTTGCTACAAAGGTTTGGAGCCTAGACGCCTTGAGATGTGTGTGTGTGTGTGGGTGTGTGTCTGTGTATGTGTGTATGTATGTATGCATGCATGTATATACAAATATACATACGAATAAGTATTTCTATAGTGGTATATCAAGGAACCTATATAAGGAATAGTATTGGCAACTTAGACCGCTGTAGTGCAGTTGTTGCGGGCATCGACACAAAACCAAAGGGAATTTCAGTGTGCTTAAGCAGCCTCACATGCAGAACCACAATACGATTTCCTACTATAGTACGTAGCACATATAAACCTGTTGGGCCAGGTTGTTATCAGGGTTCTCCTTGGGAACTTAGTTTGGGTTGGCAGCATAATAATCATGGTGGGTTTGTAAGGTAACTCGGTAAGTTCCCATCATACTATAGGGGCCTCAATTAACAATGAGAATGGAGTTTAGGGGTGCACTTTGCAACGAATATACCAGCCGCCAGGAAGCCTTAGGGATAGTATTGTGTAGGAGTAGGGGCCTTAACTATGAGAATGGAGTTCTGGCGCGCATGAGCCGCAAAATCCTGTAGATATAAGCGGTTCGGAAACCTTTGAGTAATATTAGTAAGCAATCAGGCTTCTATGCGCTGCCTGAAGCAGGGGAAAGTAGCCCTTCCATGGGTCGAGGTTGCCAGAGAGCCCAAAACTCATGCTCAAGCCCACAACCCTAAACCCTAAACCCCAAACCCTAAACCTTAAATCCTAAACCCTAAATCCTAAACGAAGACAAGTTGCGGCCAGAAGCCAGTCCAGGGTCTCTTGGAGGTCAACTCGACCCGAACCATCCTTCGGCGCATTAGCTTGACAGGTTTTAGGGCTTTATGGGTTAGGCTAAAGGCGTTGTTAAGGGTTTAGGGTTTAGGGGGTAGTTGTCCGAATAAGCCTTAGGGTTCAGAATTTAGGGTTTAGGGCGCTCGTAGTCAATCACGAAACAAAATGTTGACTGAGACTCCGATGTAAGGCTGAGTAATTCGAGGATTACCTATAGTCTCCATTGTAGTTCCTTTTGTTGGTTTAACCAATTCTATATTAGGGAACCTAAAAGGGAACCCCAAAAAGGAACTACAATGGAGACTATAGGTAGAGTTAGAGGGCAGAGTTTCATTGTCATGGGCTTAGCAGAACGGCCCTGAAAGGAGTGATAGTATATAGTAGGTAGGTAATAACATAACATCACTCAGGAATAGCATTAGCAGCGCTGAACAACTTGGCTTCGCAATGCCAGTATACCGGCACTTTCCAATAGTACGGACACAGTCATCGGTAGTATTGACCAGAAAGTTACATACAAGAACCAATCACTCACAACAAATAAACACCAGAAACACTAGCACCTCGTGTTTTTGCTGTGGAAGCAACACAGCGAACCAGCCATAAACAATAAACAAAGGCACACCAAGCAATTATATGAGTCAGAACAGCAACAGCCATAACTATAGCAAGGTCTCGAAAATTAGCAAAACTTATCCCTGTAATTAGTCCTCTACGGAATAAGTGATCTGCTGCAGTACCACCCCCTCTCTCTGTTTTTCAGGCTTCTCTATATATCAAAAAAGTGTAAAATTGAGCCCAGGCCAACAAGACGTGGAGACAGCTATACAACGTCACCCTCGGCCCTAAACCCTCAGCAACTATAATCCCCAGAGAGTCCAATTACCCAAATAGCAGGGTTTCAGATCCCAAAATCCATATCCTGAACGGTTTTTGGACCTTGAAACCCTGCTATTAGGGTGCTTGGACCCTTAGAGACCTACATGTCCACTTTCCCCGAGGAACTACGGTTGATAGAAATCCTGCATTACCTTAAGGACCCTTAAAATATGGGAATTATGAGTATTTTCCTTATTACTTGGACCCTTAGGATCCTTGAAACAATAGACCCTACGCTGGAATCCCCTGGGGGCCTTGTCGGCCCTGAGGAAAAAGCGCTGTAAGCGCTCATCGCTCCAGGTGCCTTAGGCTGATTTCAGGGGGGGGGGGGGGCTGAAAGTGTCGGGTTTGGGCTCGTTTCTGGACCCAAAGGGTCCTAGGTACTGTTATGGGGAATACTTCCCCAAATCATAATAGTCATTCCTAATATATAAACCCTACATTCTACCATATAGGTACTTTGGACCCTTTGGGGGAGGACCAAATGACCCGTAAAAGTAGGGGCCCCCCTTTACCCATATGCTATAACTCCCTATAAGGTATATGAACCTTAAACCCTTTTAGGGTTCATTTCGTCCTTAAGGTTTCGGACCCTTGAGGACCGAAACTATCTTTTGTCTCCATTGTAGTTGATTTATATTTGGTTTAACAAATTCTATATGGGAGTTTCCGAAAATTAGGGGTACCTTATTTGGGGGTCCTTATAATAAGGATCCTAGTATTTTCGGGTACTATTTTAGGGTCCCCCATTTTCGGGAACTCCCATATTAGGGATCCTAAAACGTAACCCCAAAAAGGAACAACAATGGAGACTATAGATACGGTTCCTGTGTTTCCCATGGGGGGTCTTGTTGTACCACGAGTATGGTTTGACTGGGCTTCGGGCCGAGGGTTCGAGTTTCGCCGTTGACCGAAGGTTTTGGGCTTAGGGGGGTCTGATCCTTCCTAGAGGTCCTGTAAGGGCTGCTTTACGGTTTCAAGGGTCCGCTAACGGATCTATAGAGCCTTTTGTAGGGTTACGGTGAATAATTCTAAACCGAAAACCTAAAACTCTAAGCCTCAGCCAGCAAGGACTGTACGAAGGTCGCTGTTCAGGTGACTGCCTGGGGTCCTGCAAAGCCTAAGGGTCCATGTACTCATATAGCCCAAATAGGGTTTCTTCAAGGGTTCCTAACGACCGCTAGAAGGGCCCGACTTATGGGGTTTGGGGTTTAAGGGTCCATGTACTCAATGTACTCAGAAAGTATTCGTATACTTTGGCCTGAAAGCAACCCCTGTGTAAATACTTTGGTGTCAAAGTCTTTACTATGCAGGTACATGGACCTCTACGGAAGGCGCTATCGTTGAACCTTAGAAGCCCTTTATAGAGCCTTTCCAGGATCATTATAAAATCTGGAAGTTATGATGTATAAATCCTCTGAGACCCTTCGAAGCCGTCACAGGACACTTTTAAACTATACAGCCTGAAACCCTACACGCTGTAGGGATCTTCTAACCTCGAATCACAAAAACCCTTAACCCTAAACCCCTAAGCCCCAAACGGTCTCGACCATGGCATCCAATTCTCAGGCCCAGCCACTTGGGTTGAGGAGCTTGAGGAGGCGTCCAAACTCCTGCACATCCTGAGTTGGCAGAGTTTTGGGTTTGGCCTATAGTCTCCATTGTAGTTCCTTTTTTTGGTTTAACCAATTTTATTTTAAGGATCCTGAAAAAGTAATGGAGACTATAAAGAGGTTTTGGGATCTGGGGGTTCGGGCTCCTGGTTTCGAAAGGTTTCGGAAGCTGCGCAGGGAAGAATGCTATCTTTTCACGCGGCTTTAGGGTATTTTCCTATCATCCCCGAGCCCAAACGTCCAAAGCCAGAAGCTAAAATCGTCCCTTCGTGATCCGAACACAAAAGGATTGAACCCATGAGCCACAGCCTTTGGCACGAATGGGCCTAGACGGTCCATACATACTGGCAGGATGACAAAGGTCCCAACAGACCGCACCACATGCGGGCACCAGCTCAGTGCGCAGGGCTTGGGGTGAGGGTTTAGTTCCCTGCTCCCTACGCCCTAAACCCCCTAAACCCAAAACCCTATAAACCCTAATAGGGCCTGGAGGATTCACGGATTGGGGTTGGTCTAGACCATCCAACTACCCTCTACTGTAACACGTGTTTGCTTACGAAAGAGTGAAGTTATGGGGTTTAGGGTCTAGGGTTCAGGGTTTAGGGGTGAACTAAAGTTTTCCTTGTGGGAAATTATGGGGATCATCGCACCCAGAACCCCAAAACCTAAGCCAAAAAACCCTGTGCAGCCAAACGTCGAGGGTGCCCGACTTGTCCACATCCGCACTCAGGAAGGCGTTTCGGACCTGGGTGCGTGTTTAAGGAATCACCTTTCAAGACTCCCCCTAAAAGCCTAAATAAGGATTTAGGGAATAGGGTTTGTGTGCTCCGTATTATCTTGCACTGTAGGCAAGATATGATCTAATATGGTACACCCAAGTATGGAGCTTGCATCTTGTTTGTAAGCCTTGTATACGATATGATCTACTACAAACCTTTTACGATGCATGTAGTCATCAGAGTTCAACATCTTCTACCATAAACTCTGTATGGAATGAACTTTCTTTTGCTTCGGGGCTGAGTATCCTAGCCCAACAGGGGTTAACCTTTTCAATTTTGGTATGGTTAGAAAGTATACAAGACCCAAAAGGTTAAAGGTTACCTACTCAGTCAAGACTCTGTATAGGAATGAACGCTAAACCCTAAGGCTCAAAATAGTCCAGAAGCCCTATACATAGCACATTCATAGTATAATCTTTGGGCCCAAAAGCCTTAATATATGGCGGTTTCCGAAGATAAGGGGTACCCTATTTTGGGCCCTTTTTCTAAGGATCCTACTATTTAGGGTGCTCTATTAGGGTCTCCTGTTTTCACAAACTCCCCCACTTCTGTGAGTCTTTAAAGCCCTAGGAAACTTCAGGGCGAGGAAGGCGGGAGTGTGCCGCTTTCGGTTGGGAGCCTCGAACTGTAGAGCCGGACCCAGGCAGCAGCCACTAATGTGACAGACGCGCCCCTGTTTGTTCGAAGCCCAGAGCTTCGGATTTAAGGCTCATGGGTGTTAGGGTTCAGGGTGCCAGATGGGTGGGATCTTCAACGACCGAGCCGCCACATCTTCAGTCTGCATTCTGCAAGACGCTGCAGCGGTCTACATCAACACTCGCACGTGCACAGGCGGAGAAGGGAGGATGGGGGAATCCTTTTGCGGCTCGAGTTTTTAAAACTCTCAGGACTCATGTGGGCTTGTGTGGTCATGGGTTGTCATACTCGCAAGGATTAGCTAACAGTTGGTGGCTCAGGTCTGCATTGCATTTAGTGTAGCCTAAGGGCTGCAACCCCCAAAGTCAAGATACGTCGGGGTCAAAGGTAGTAGAAAACAATTTAGTTCAAGTGCCTAAGCAAGCACAAGAGAGCGGGACGGGCCAGAAGTTTTGACTGTGAGGTCTATCAACTGTGAAGTTTGACGGGGTCTGGGGTCTAGGATATAGATTTGCATTTGCGCATGTCAGAACGTTCATGGTTATTCGACACGGTCTCTACAAGGAAGCCATGTGAACCAAATGGCAAAGCGAAGATGCAGCGGCAGGGGTCAGCGTTTCGGAAGACTTCTCGCACACCATCCTGACCCCTAAACACTAAATCCCAAACCTTGAAACCTGACCCTTGAACCCTATCCCAATCTTGGTTTCTTAAGGGAACTGAAACCAGCAAGACAATTCCCGAAATGTGCATATTGCCCATGCAGCTTTCTGTTTGGCCGCACCCCTACTACCCAGAGGCTCCATAGTAGTTCCCTTTGGGGATTACCTTATACGATTCTATATATGGACCCCAAAAAGGAACTACTATGGAGCCTTAGGGTATAGGAATAGGAACCCATACCGTCATTAGGCACTTGAGCCCATGAGGGTTCGCTGTTATCAGACTCCGGGCTTGGGTAGGCAGTTGTAATTACGCTCCTTAGGTCCTACGTACCTATAATGTAAGTAACCCTAAGACTCCATGTGCCCATATAGTAGGTACTTAGGCCTTAAAGGGGTCCCTATATGGATACTTTAAGGCCTAAGTACCTGCAATATGGGTACATGGAGCCTGTGGGTAATGAACTTGTACCTGATGAGGTGGCTATAGCTATATAGGCTAAACCTCCGAACCCAAAGTCATGATTGTGTATCCGAAACCTTCGACATTGAGGCGTTGTTCCGAGGACCGCGGGTGGGGAAGCTCGAGCCTTAACTTATGTATTGGGGAGTCGGAGCTAAAGTATGGGAACTTCGAACAAAGCCCACACCAAAGACCCGTCCCATAATCAAACCCTACGGCTGCAAGTGCAAGCAATCTGGAACTTCTGGAGTTCGGTGCCGGGAAAAAGTACCCAAAGCCCTATGATAGGCGTGCCTGGACCCTTTCGGCAAAAAAAAAAGGTATCTGGGAAGTAGGGATGAGGCTAATTATATGGGTCGGGTTTGTGGTTTAAGGTTTGCCCTGCAGGGTCAATGCTACTACGAATTCACCTGCTCCCCCGACGACCAACCTGCGTAAAAGGTCATCTTAACCCTAAACCCTAAACCTTAAACCCTAAACCCTAAACCCTGAACCCTAAACCCTAAACCCTAAACCCCAAACCCTGAACCCTAAACCCTACCTTTTTTTTATTGTCGGGTCATTTGGACCCTTGCGGCTTAGGGTGTAGACGTCTATAGGGTTTATACGGGTGGATTCCATTCAACGGCCCGCAGACCTTTTACATAACAAAGGGATCCATAAGGGCTTTGCAGGGTTCTATGTTCTATAATGGTTCTAAGCGATTGGTACAGGCTTTTGATTTTGGGTATCACGCCACACAGCCGCAAAGCCCCTCACACTCCCACATGTAAACTCGAAAAACCACACGTCCTCTTAGGGCCTACGGTTTACCCTCATTTCCCAACTCCAAAACAGCCAAAACCCTTGAACTTTGTCGCCTTTTAAACCAGCCCTGCACCCCCCCAGCCCTCTACCCAAAGGCCCCAAAGTAATTCCTTTTTGGGGTTCATATATAGAATCCTATAGGGTAATTACTCCCAAAAAGGAACTACTTTGGGGCCTCTGGGTACCTCAATCAAGGTATCTCGAAGCGGCCTGGAGAAACAATGCTGCAGCAGAAATCCCGCAGTGGCTGCCATGCCTCAGTTTCTGTTGCTGCTGTACCAGAAAACCCTACACCTACAACCGTAAAGCCCAACAAACCGTAAACATGCATACCTCAAAGCCCCAAGAGCTAAGCCCCACAAAGGGTTTATTAAGCCTCTAGGGCTGAGAGTGTCAGGTCTTTGATTGGTTTCTGGATGTTTGTAGGGAATTTAATCAGGTGTGTAGCATTCACTAGACCTAAGAGTAACCTCGGAATAAAAAGGGTGCCCTTTTTGGTTTAAAGGGGGTTCTAAGGGAACCTACACCCTAAAAAAAGGGAATAAGGGCCTACTCTGGGTCCTATAGTTCATAATATCTATACGCCAAAAAGGTGTTGTGGGGCTAAGGCCTTGAGGCTTCGGGGTTCAAAGGTTTTGGGGCTGTGAAAGGTTAATCCGCAGAGGGTCCAAGTACCCAAATTCATAGGGATCCTTAGGGGTGTAGGGGGAGGGGAGGGGGCCTTAAGGCCCATAATAAGGACTAATAAGGCCTATTTAAGGAAATATAGTCCCCTACACCCCTCCCCCCTACAACCCTAAGGATCCCTATGACAAATAGTAGGGTTTCAGATCCCAAAATCCATACCCTGAATGGTTTTTGGACCTTGAAACCCCCCATTGGGTACTTGGACCCTTGGGGATCCTACACCCCAAACCCTGAACAAGCGCCGGTGAGCCGATTGGGTAGTTATCAACATCCCTAATTGGGTACCCTAAAGATTAGGTGCCGTATTATATTAGGGGCCCAAAACGGGACCCTTATTTTGACAACCACCCGAGTGCCAAGTCTAGGGGTCTGGGTCACGTTTAGGGGTCCAATGGCCTACTGGTTTCGAAGGTTTTGGGGCTCAATTTGCTTGCCATGATGGGGTCATAGCCTGATGTGAGGCAGCTGCTGTAAACGGGTGGCTGAGGAACCAGTTTTGTGCCTCCCAACAGGAGTTCAGGGGAAACTGCAACAGAACAGGCAGGGGGGACCCTACACCCTGAACCGCAAAACCCTGGGCCTAAACCCTGAACCCGAAACCCCTAAACCTCAAACCCCTCAACCCTAAACCCTCAACCCCAAAGCGCAAACACCGAAGCCTCGACTCCTGCTAACCCCAAGGCCTACAATGCCGGCAAGCCCTGCTCCTCCACCCGAAAGCCAGAAAACGGCAATCCCTACACGGCCTTAGAGTCCTAAAGCCCTCCCTAGAACCACCACCCCCCCCAACTACCAACGGCCTTAGAGGCCTAAAGCCCTGCCTAGAACCCCCCGGACTACCGCCCGTATTATTCACGAAGTACTTTCTGTTAAGGACCGTAAGGGCCTTCAACAAGTACTTGGGAGTCCTGGCAAAACCCAAATCCCTAGAAACCCTCATTCCAGAAGGGTCCATACACTCATATAGTATATACATTGGCCTTAATGTAGTCCCTATATAAGTACTTTGGGGCTCATGTATCTCTATATGGGTACATGGACCCTAAGGGATTTTGAGCAGCCTATATGAAGCAACCGTACGGTTGCACCTGATTCAGATTTCTAAGGAGGCGGCAGATACCCAGCAGCGTAGGGCATGCGATCTTCGTCATCTCCCAATCCTCTTTAGCTTCTGAGAGAGAAGATTCCGAGACCTTCAATGCACCCAAATGAAGGGCTGGGTAGAAATATCACGGGCCCACAAGGTAATTACTACGAGCATGAAAGTAACAAGGCTCCCTTAAAAGTGCTGCCTAGAGGAGTTTAGGTTTTAGGGTTTAGGAAGTTTAGGGTTTAGAGGAGTATCTAAGGCCAACAGAAGTAGGAAATGACGGAGCGCGCTGGCACAAGAGTTAAGGAACAAGCCAGAAAGTTGGAATATGATTATCCTAACCTTTCTATGGTAAATTATAGGGTATCCTACCATGAAACCATATTCCAACTTTCTGGAGTTTCCTATAAGAGTCAGGCTTGAGGCTTCAAAGACTGACAGATTTCGCAGCGCAGGTATGAACTCCCTCGGAGAAGAGGGCCGCACATATACAAGGGCCTCCATAATTAGAATGAGGTTCCCGGACATACTACAACACAGCTGTACTCAACCCTGCACCCTTAAACTCTCATACTGTTGACCCTTACCTAGACCCCCCCAAAATGGGGAAAATAACCGCCCAAAACCTATAAACGGCTATTACTATACATACTTTCGGGGTCCAGGCATAATAGCAATGCTTGTCTAGGATACCCAGTAACCTAGGAATAAAAAGGCCTCTCTTTTTGGTATTGGGTAACTTTATAAGGAACCTAGGACTACAAAAAGGGAATAAGGGTACTACTGGGCATCCTAGTTGTAGCACCCCCCGGCCATGAAGGCCTCGACCCTAAACCTGACCCATCCACCTCCGAGTCAGGACGGTTTAGGGTTTAAAGTCTACCCTAAGGCTCCCAAAGGGGTCACGGGCTTTCTGGGGGAAGGGTTTGGGCTTTGGGGGCTAAGGTTTGGTATCTCACTACGAGGGTCCAGGAGCATTAGGGTAGGGTTTAGAGCAACACAAAAACAACTAAACCGCCACCACCGAGTCCTGGAAGACACCAGCTAAAACCCGATAGAATCGAACAACGCACTATGACAAGACACCCACCCACACGCACACCTGACTTCGAAACCCTAAATCCCTATACACCCTAAACCCTAAACCCTTATAAAACCCTAAACCCTAAACCCTAAACCCTGAACCCCTAAACCCTAAACCCTAAACCCTAAGTCCTTATAAACCCTAGCTCCGGACTCCTGATCCCTAAATCCCAGGCCTAAGCCCTAAACCCAACAGAGCGGCCCAAACAGAGAAGCTCGGGCCTTGAAGACCTTAGCAGCTTTGGGCATTAATGCAGGGGCCTTAACGATCAGAATAGGGTGTCTATAGGGGTTTTTCAAGGCTTCTATGACGGAAGAGCCTTCGCAATTAGAATGAGCATTTTGGACACATTTGC